CGCAATAGATTTTCAATTATTGGAACACACTTGCAGACCGGTTTCGGGCTGTTTGGCCACTCGTCAGTGCAAGGTAGTGTATATCATCAACATAAAGTCGATGATTTCCGATAATTGAAAATCGAATTCCGTCAGAGTATCATTCCTCGAACTAAGCTGAAGACTACAACAAACAACAGGTTTGTCGTCGCCCCATCTTCCTGTGAACGAGGTAACCAACTGCATATCCGAAATTTGCCCAATTCCTCGTATAAGGAAAGAAATCTTTCACGTTACTATACGTGAAAGATTTAACAATATTCCGAAATTGTGTAAATTTTCTGATAACAATTTCATTAAATTTTGACGTCAATCTCGAAATTATTTATTGAATTCTGAGATTGAACTCGAAATTTCATTGAGAAAATAGTAAAGCATATTCCGGTTTTCGTTACATTATTATTTTTTGAAATAACAAACTGCAGTTTGGCTGCAGTTACTGGTCTGAAACTTGTTATTTCTGAAGGAATTAAATGACCGGAATTATCACGTACAATTAACAAATATTCCTGCTGTCGCCTGCCTAGGGGGAATTTCCTGTAGAATTCGTCAATATCCTATTGTATATTCTGGTATATTTTTTTGAAGTTTGTAATCTGGTGAAAGTTCTTTCCGCAGGAATATCTCTGTTAGGATATCTTTCCCGATAGAGTTGAGGGGCTTCTGCACCTCTGTGACGCCACTAAACTGAAACACACCTAGTTTAATCAAAATCCGCGAAAAAAGTTTTGAATTATTTATACTCTGAAACGAATGAACTTTTTTTCATAAACTATGACAAATAATCACCACCTGAAATTGATGACATCACTAAAATACACCCTGTATAATATTTACAAATCTATTTCTATATCGACCTAATGTGCCAAAGCAGTTTATCAAAGAATCAGGTGAATGGTTGTGGACTGGATCGAAATCATTTTGCTATCAAATGAGTCAAATGCCGACGGTTTTTATTTCATTATGTTATTACAAAATATTTGTGGAATCTTATGGTTAACTCACCTTCTAGAATACTCTGTATGTTGCAAAATCCAATACACGATGACGAAACATTCTTAGCTATGCAACAGTCAGTGTAATTATGGTTTTTGCTACTCAGTTGTCTTTGGTCATCTGTTTGAATGGTTACATCAGTCATTGTGTGGTTCAGCGGTAGCATCGACTTGGATATTACTGAAAAAATAGAATATAATTAATGGCTTTATATGCTACTGAAATGAAATACTCAAATTCAAAAGAGAGTCCAATGGAATACTTGGATTTATTGAAATGTAATTACCTGATTTGCATTGGGTTCATTCTTAAGAACTGTGTGACATATCATTGCATATTGACTTTCTGTTGTTTCGATCAATGTTTTAACTCATTTATTCAAATTCTGAATACAGGTTCACTGTTGGGGAATTGAAAAATTGAGAAGTAAGGATTGACGAATATTGATTATAATGACTTTAGTGGATACTAAATACCACACACTTGATAGTGCTTATGATTCTTCACCCTCATATAAAATATACAGGTCGTTATTTCAGCTGATTCCACTATTGCTATCATGAAAATGGTAAGAACTACACGGTCAGTTGAATTTGACAAAAGTTTTTTATTTCGGGAAACTGCAATATAACGAACCAATTTGCAATGCGACGTTTTGTTCATTAGATTTCATCATCAACCCAATTTTGGATCTAGATTGTAATACATAGCTGAGTTCAGTATTACAGTGTCTACAAAAATCCATGGTGGGTGAAAACAGAGGCCCGCATTGAATTAAGTGAAGTTGATGATGAAATAAGGTGACCGAAACGTCGCACTGGGAATTAAGTCAGATCAGATTATGAAAAATATGGAATAATAATAAAAATTGGTCATTCTAAAAGTAGGTGGTAGGTATAGCAAAAAAACGAGGATCGACAAATGTAATTTTTGACGAATATATCAAAAACAACTACTAATATTCTCTAAAGATTCTTGAAGTTACTAAGAAATTTCCGATAGAATTACGCTCCAAAAGTATTTGAAGGAAATTGATTGAACGATATATAATTCCGCGATGATAACCTTTCAAAGTAATAGTGATAAAATAAATCATAAATAGTCTGTTGAATATGAATCCAATCTCATAATGCTCATATCAGGTACATTCACCAGTAGAACAAAATGTTGACGTGTTCTCAATCAGTCCTCACTATTATACTGTTTCGTGAATCTTTTTATCAGTTACTCAAATTGTCCGGTGTTTCCGGATCCATTAGCTAATGGTTACTGGTTACTGCTTACTCATCAACTCCAGATTAAAATATTGACGGAAGTCTGAGAAAATTAGTCAAATGGTGTAAGAAACATTGAAATTGCAAACTTTGGGCTCACCACTCAATTTATGGAAGCTCCTTACGGTAGGGTTGCTATTGACCTCACAGACGTAGACTCCTGAATCGGTGGGCTTGACATTCTCAATTACCAATACCCATACATCTCCTCCAGAAGGCAGATCGGAAGGGTTGTCCGAATTCTCTTCTGATTGGTCTGAAACATGGAAACAAAAATGAGATCATGAAAATCAGAGTAGGTTGTTAATTGAAGGCATCAAAATAAAATAGTAGAAGTTACTGAAAAAATTCAAGTCAGTTCATGGTATCTGAAGGCCAGTCAGTGTTATGTTGAGATGGAGGTTGATAATTTGAGAGGAGATATTATTGGAGGATATACTTTCCCACGTGCCAGGTCCAAAGTATTTTAGTTGTTTGGACACTGAAATCATCAGTTATATCTGTGTGAAGAATTTCAACACTTACTACTTATAACATTCTTTACTGAAAATTGTCATTGAATCACATCAAATATTCTGTATTTATCATTTAGAAGGTGGAATTCTTTGCTTCTGTAACTCCTTTGTTTGTTTTTACTCCAAATTTTTCATTCATACAAATTTGATTGTGGTAACTTTTGTATAGATATGCGGTACCGGTCGCTTGTTGTATGGAAGAGTGATCTCAGTCGATTTTTATTTTGTGCAGATGTAGAATTCTACAATTTGTTAGGTTACATTATCACTATCAGTAGGTACTGAGTAACGTTTCAACGAAGGTATTAATTATTTTGATTTTCAGTCAGGCCAAGTCAGACATTGAACTCAAAGCCATAACTCATGATGATTATCAAATACAAACTTTTCACAAACGTGACATGAGTTTTTATTGGCTCTGACCATCATATTCCCTGAGAATACATAACGAACCAAGAATTACAATCTTTTGCATATATATGGCTGGAATGTCTGCCGTTTTGTAGGTGTGGAAAAGTATAATTCCATAGTAGTAGGCACTGAATTCTCCGAAATCTTATTGCTTCAAAATGAAAATATTGTTGTCGAAGTTGTGATTCTATATATTTCATCATCAATTTTCCTCATCTGCTTGGTATAATTTCCGTAGGCCACTTAAAGAGACAAATTAAGGCAAAAACGTCAGTAATTTCTGACTGACGTTCAGTGACGTCAACTATTTTGGATTCATAGTATAGTCGGTATAATTTTGAGGTTCGAGACTAGGGAAGGTATCATCCTCATTCAATTGAAACAATCATTTCAGTAGAGGGGTTTGAATAAAACTGGCGGAATTCAAAAAGTATTTCTTTATATTTCATCAGGTATTTCTTCTCTTTTCAGAAATTTTTGGTTGGAGAGTTCATGTGGTCACGAAGCATATTCAGTGTCGCATCAGGCAGACACCATCGTATCACGCCATAATGGACTTCTCAGTTCCCAATTTCAATCTACTGTATCTGAGAGAAGTAAATATTTTTGAAAAAAACCTATGCATTGGATTAACCGCCTGTAGTCATAGGAATGAAAATATTTTTTTGCCTCCTGCTGGACGAGTTCTGACTCAGTAGCAAGATTCTGATTGCCTCATTTGGAATGATCAAGCCAAGTTCATTATTCGCTCGGGTAATGTATGAATAGGTGGTACTTCAGTTTTTGCTTTCCCATGAACATGACCCATGTAGGGAATGGAAATGATTGTTTTCTGTGAAGCCAAGGAGAAATAAGATGATATCTTTTTGGTGAGGTATCATTTCATTGCCATACTATTCTGGTCATGAAGTGAGGTTACAATCGTTTCAGATCAACAGGCGACCTTTTATCGTATGTCACCCATATTTGGAATAACGCACCTGAACTGTTGTGGTTGATATTTCAAATGCCTTTGACCATGTGTAGCATGAGGGTTTGCTGTCTTAGGCAGGTTAATATATCTGTCCTGAGTCTATGACTGAAAACATAGGTTCCATTCCGCTTCACTAACTCTCATACTTACTTTTTACAACACCCTCCACTTCTCTTTTATTTTATAACACAATATCTTTCAAATTATCTCCTAGTGATCATGTTTTTTCACTTTGATTGATGCGTTTTGAAACAACACCCTGTATATCCGATTTTGTTCTCATATCATTCCAAGCGCACCCGATTCGTTATCTCTCAAACGCAAACGCCCCTGATGAGCCACTTCCGACTCTGTCCTAATTGTTTTTTTAATATAACTTCGAACAAAACTAAATATGTTTCATCAGCCGGGCAGGAATCATAATTCAAATATAAAGAAATTCGAAAAGCAGTGACCGAAGCCATCCCTATCAACAGTTTGCAAATACTTTCGAAATCTAACGGTGGTGTCGAAGCTAACGATCAAGTCTATCGCACTAAGGACCTGCGTTCAATTCTCCAACGAAAACTTTTTTCATGACGTCATGAAACAAAAATGTGTTGAGCGAAAATATGGGCTGACGTAAGATCGCCTCGTGACTGTGTAGTCTGTTTCGTTGAGGTATACGCTTGGACGTCTGTCTGCCTAAATTATTTATGTCCACAGAAAATTCAAATCTCCCGCCACGATGTTCTGAGACTCGAAAGCGTGCGCTCTGATGAGCTGGCGAGCTGCGTGACAGTTTGAGGATTCTCTGTGAGAATTTGGTACACTTTGATTGGTTCACCGCTGGTTGACAGGACACCACGTGACAATTTTGTGCAGTCTGCTTGCCTGGGTGGTCTGTGTGCCCGGTCTGACAAACTGGAAGCTAACCTGACTGGTGTGATGACGTCACTGACTGCCTGTGGTGCGGTTACTCCTACTAGACTTTGTATATAGACTAACTATGGTCTATATACAAAGCTCCTACATTCGAAGCTATGGCTTGTCGGATTATTTTCGTATATGTCTCTCCAGCTTTCTGAAAAAACGTTTCCTGCAAGTGACCGTCGATGGATATCTCTCGAATATTTTCGCTATCAACGCTGATGTTTCCCAGAGATCCATATTGTCTTCAACCCTCTTTTTATTATACATCGACTTTTGAAAAAAAATTCAAGAATCCAATATGTTGCTTTGCTGACGACAACACACTTATCTCGTCATTCCATGACGTCGGCTGCGAATGAACATCTTCATAGGCAGTGAGAGGTTGCATATCTCAATGAGGATCTAGATATGATTTCGAATTGGGATCACCAGGTTGAATTCCATGCCACGAAAACCCAAGCATCGGTTTTTTCTATAAAGATAAATGTCTCCAAACTGGATATAATGAAGTCAAAACAGGCAATTCAGCTTTCTGCTTCGATAAGATTGTTGGGGGCTGAAATGGACAACAATATGTCTTGGCACTTTCATATTGCTGGAGTTGCGAAGGCTGCTTCTCAAAAGTTTGGAACACTGTTCCAAACGAGAAAACTGTACACACCTCAGCAACTTTTGATGCTTTATTGAGCCCAGATCAGACCTTCTCTGAAGTATTATTCTCATGTATGGAGCTTCGCTCACAAGCATACCCTGGAGCTGCTGGATTCCATTCAGAAAAGAGTCATCCGCGTGATTGGAGACGCGAACATCACTTGCAACCTTGATAGATGTAACATCGAAGAAAGGTTGGAGATTCATCTCTCTTTCATATATAATCATACGGGAGGTGTTTGAATGACATATTTGATTCCGTCAAGAGCGGTACATATCAGAAATACGCACTATGGCTGCTCATCGTTTTAGAGTTCAACCCAGTATACCTCGAACTTTACTGTTTGAGAACACTCTCATTTGGGGAACTGTTTTTATGTGGAATGGACTTCCTGAGAACTTTTTTCCAAATGAATTTAATCCCCGGCGATTCAAATCCAACGTGAATCGCTAGTTTTGCATTTGCAATATAAAATTGAACATCGAACAGTTTGTGATACCGTTGCAATTTCGTGATAGAGACAATTCTGAAATTTGCATAATATTGATCGAAATGAGGTATATTGGATGACATCCAGCTAATGTTATGCAATGCAGAACGAACTAATAGCAAACTTTCAACCACTTCCATCATATTTCGTTCGTTTCCTCTTTTCTTCCACCGACTCGTCTCCAACTTCGACAATATTGAAAGTTCAAATGGAGTTTTTCTCGTACTTTATTACTTTTTAATTCTCTCAGATTGCAACCATGTTGATATGGATGAGGAAATGCAGTTTGTAAAGTACGTCGGAAGTTTTGCGAAGGGAGGAATCTTGTTGGGTGCTAATCTAGCATATGCCTTGAAAGTTGGCAGCAAAGTTTTTCAATTCACTCTTAATTGTAATTGACTCATGAGCTGAATTATGGTGATTTAAATCGGTTTATGAACTAAGATATAAAGTTAATCGTAATAGGCAGCTGAAGCCATTGAATGAAAAAGAAGAAGAAGAAGTCAAACGTAATACGTAATGTTATCACGTAAATCCAAATTACCAATGAACTGAGCATAAACTGTTTGAATTATTGGTTTTGAATCACTGACTTTCCATTGTATATATTAATTGTATATTATTGAAAAGAGAAAACATCAGATTAACTCATTTCTAATAATTACTAGCGACACTTCCCGGCTCATTCACATAAAAAGTATATTCACAAATATCAATTCCAGTGCTAACGAAACAAATATATGACTTCAATCATCAAGGCGATTCACTACCTAAAACGAAACAGATAACCTCTCAACCTTTCCTTTGTATCTGTAGAGTAGGAAGGGTGAGTGTAAGCCCACTGCATAGAGGTGTGTTCACTAGCCCTATATTATGAAAGTGTTTCTTTAGTTGATAGACAAGTCAGAAATCCTACTGTCAAGCGCATATTCTGCCTGGTCATCGCCAGATATGCCTGACAGTCTCATCTTTCTGTTCATACATCCTGCATAGAGGTTAAGCGTAGATTTTTCCTGATCATCGACAGATATTTCTTCGGCGCCAGATTCCCAAGGTCGCCCAAGGTAATCATGGCAAAGTTGCATTCTTTGATTCCATCTTAACTCTTCAAGGATTGAGCATGGGTGTAACATTTGACTAGTTCCGTAGATGTCGAAGTTATCAGGTGCCACTGGGTCCTAAAACTCTTAGTGCAACCTTATCACGCGTGCAGCTTGGATTGATTTTGAAGAACGATAGTTCTTCAACGCGTTCAACTCAATACTGAGTTGAATTTCGTTGTGCGAAGGGCAGTTATGATGTG